GCCACGCTATCCTGGAGCGGAACAAGGGGCTTATTTCTTGGAGGCGGCCCCGAATCGCCTCCCATGTACTTCCCAGTCACTTGAATGCAAGCTTTTGGCTGTGCCGACATGCAGGATACCAACCGCACACACACAGAGCGCACCACACACGCAAGCATGCATGGATGCGCCTGAGTGGAGACAGCTGGTATGAATCAACACAGCACTACAGAAACAGGGAGTCCATCCCCTGAATCCACCTGCGTCTCAGGGCAAGTACATGGTGGCTTTTGGTCCGCGATTTTATCGCCAACTGGGGTATGCGCCACGTAACCTCGCCAGTGACCGGTTTAGGGATCTTGTCACTGAGGGGACCTCAGTGAAGAGATCCGTGGATTCTATTCACTGACGTTCCGTCCTTCAGGAAAGAGGGCGGAAGTGGTGTAGTGACAAGTGGCGCGCTTACCACGCGAGCGGTCCGGGATCAAATCCTGGGTCGTGAGTCGCCCGGGCCAACCAAGCCTTCCATCCCTCGGGTCGGTTAATTGGTACCAGACTTGTCTGGGAGGATAAAAACACTGACTTGTACATCGGCTGGCCCCGCAAGTCATTGTATAGGCCACATCGCATTCAAACGCCACTACGAATGTATCTTCACGTTAATGAAAAGAAAACAAGGAATGAAACTGAACAGACATATTCGTAAGGTCTGGAAAACCTCTGCCAAACTAAAGAATATTTGGCCTTTCTGTGAGCCATGTGGTTTTTAAGTATGCTAATGTATGACCTATAGAATGAGTACAAAGACCTTAGGAATAAGTCGCGCAAGCGCAAGAAAAAGGGATGACTTGGGTGGGACGCGTTACCGCGTCACAATGTCCCACGAGGTGCGCAAAGTGGGACGCGTTACCGCGTCACGCTGTCGTCAACGTGTCAAAGGTTTATAAATGTTGTAGCAAAATCAAAATCTGGTAGATCACTCTAGACAGAAGAAAGCGAATAATGACTGCGAAAGATGGTAATTACACATCAACTCTTGGATCTGATATCATTTCGTTTTACGACCTTGCTTATGATGAATAAATTGTACGACTGCCTCGGTAAGCAACATGCTTCCAACAACTAACCCACTTCTTTCCATCCCAAACCAAGGTATCTGAACAAGAGAGACAGGCAGTGAATCAAGTCGCTCATGCAGATTTTTTCGTGACCAGATTTGTGTTTTTTCTCGTTTTTGAGATCAGCAACGATGTATTTGCCATATTGTAGGAGACAGTCCGAAAGTCATCAGAACACTTGACCTTCTTGCCTCGTCGCTTCCATTGACACGCCTTCTAGGTTGATAATAGCAGCTGCAGCGTAAGATTCTTTCAACGAAAAACGATTTTTTCCGCGGATGGCAGCAATGCTGTGAAAGAGACCATTGGCCAGAATTCAGTTCAGTTTACAGTGAATGTTCCAACACGATCCCCAAAGATTTCACGGTATGCAGAAATTAATGCGTTGAGACTTCGCCAACAACCTAGTATTTCATTTCCAGCCGCAAAGGATTACGTGGGTGGAACTGCATTTCAAGAAGTTGCCTCGATTATTTAGAGGAATAATTATTTGCGGAAACCCCGTCCGCTATTATAAACGTCTGCGTCATTGCATAATTATATTCACAATAGGCATTGAAACGTTGATCACAACAATGAGCGCCATATAGAGCAGCGGCTGAAGTGACACTTTTTTTCGCGTCGTCGCGTGGCCGTATCGGGTCTATTCCAGATGTGTCAACTTAATAAACCACCATATAAATACCAGAAGAGAGAAGCAGGCACATCGTTCCAGCCCTCGCAAGTGTTCCATTCCTAACACCACTATAATCCTTGAATGCTCAGCTCCAGCTCAGAATGAAGGTTCTTGCGCTTGCTGTACTTGTGTCTGCATGTGTGGATGCAATGTCAGAGCAGCGGCAGAAATCACCATACGTTCTTCACTTCACTCCACTGGAGAAACCTTGAACTGGAGAAACCGAAAGACTGAAAGTGAGTTATTGAAAATTAAAGAAGTCATCCCTAACGATTAACGTCATATATTGGGTTGATCCATAATTTCTGGCCGATTTTGGTTCAAATTCAATTTTCAATATGTCAAATTAACTTCATATCGAAATAAGTTGATATGTTGAAGAACACATCAGGACCTTCAACCAGGATGTTTCAGAAGCTCAAATGCGCAACGGGATATTCAAGTAGGAATCAAAGAGAGATCAACGACCAAACCCAACCATTATGCCTTACGACAATTTCAAGAAGAACCTTGCAAGGAGCGCGGTAGGCAAGATCAGCGCTGCGTTTGCCCTAGTCTTTGCTACTGTTCGAGCACTGAGCTATTGGCTCAATAGCATCGGCAAGTAAGATAGGAGCTGCAAAGTTCGACCTCATCATGGACCTCCAGTCACTATGGATGGGACCCCTTGCGCAACGAATAGGAAGTGCATCCTGACGCTATTAGCAGGAAACTATAGCAAACACCTGTACGCAGCCTATGCTCCATGAGTCGATACCTGAAGCGAAAGGGGCTGTAGCAGAATGGAGACTCGATGGAAACAGCAGGCATCGACTGATCATGTTCGAGAGGCACGCCTGACCATCTGCAGAAGTTTCATTCTTCGACCATATAGACACGACGTTCCCTAGTTGGTCACTAGTGCAGATGAGTCATGAGTCCACCACGATAACAACACACAGCACGCCTTGTGGCTACCTCGCAGCCTGGACTCACCATCTCGACCAAGCATGAGCCGCTCTCGAGTAGTGGGATATAACTACGGGTTCGTTAGGATTATCGCTTGGGCGCGGGGGGAGGGTGGGAGGGGAGTAGGGGGGGGGGGGGGGGGGTCATCCTGTTTTGGGAAACATTTCACTTTATGCAAGACAAGCATTGCAAAGGTGACCATGGAATAGTTCCGAAGTTGGCTACAGCAGTGCGGGAGAACGGTTCGAAAGGTTTCTCGGAATCTCCTTTCTCCGAAGGACTGCCCGAAATCACATTGCAAAGATAACTCGCCACCTTCCAAAGGAAACTGGCTAGAGCACGGCACCACATGTGTCGTATAGCCCCGACATTACTCCATCGTACCATCACCTCCTCAGCTCCCTGAAGCAGCAGCTTGGAGAGAAAACAGTCAGTAAATGCAACCACCCCAAAAACGACCTCTCCGAACTTTTCATTCCACAGCTCCATTCATTCTGGGAGGAATGCATCCATTCGCTCCCTAGCAAGTGGATGCTTATCAGTGATTATGATGGTGGTTACTTTTTTGATCAATCGTTTTTAAGGAAAGAGAAAACTTGAAGAAATCAAAGTGTTGAAATTTCGGCCAGAAATTATGGATCAACCCAATAGATGGGATGAATTTCTGCATATTATTATGGTCACTACAGTTATTATTATTCCGGAATGCTGTATAGTGGTAGACGAAAAAGGCATATCTCCACAAGCAGGGCATCATTCCATGCTAACTTCGTCCGGAAAACTTTACGCACGTTTCACAGCAGGAGACAGCATATGATTCAGGTATTTTTGGCGGGCGTACTTGAAGAAGCGACCAGTACATATAAAACGTGTGGCAGGAAGAAGCGATCGCGATGAATCCACAGCGTCTAAATTACCTGTAAGGGCGGTTCCAATTTTTTTTAAACAGCAGCGCCCACCAAGACACAGGTTTCTTAAATGTGTAAAGTGGCAATCGCAAGCCACGACGACAAAAGCTACTAAAAAAGAAAGTGCAAAAAACCCTCCACATTCGAGGAAACCAACGCTTTTCCTTGCCAAAACGAGACCGAACATAGTGTCAATAAGCCACCGATCCTAATCAAGCTGATGCGTTGTGAATATCGCTAGTTCCTGCCCCAGAAACAATGGCCGTTCTGTCCGCATCACAACAAGTTCCTGTAGTTTTGTTCAGAGAATCCTCTACAGTCAATAGATTCGAGTCAGAATTCGAGTTTTCCTCTTCAAAGCTCTCTCAGGTGATATGCATCTCATTTCAAATGGCACCTTCGAAGTACCATCCTCTTTTTAGTCGAAAACGTTCACCACGGCCCAGAATTGTCCGTGCTCGGCTAGAAAATCGAGTTGACATAGATCGATATCTGCAAAGAGCCAATCGGGGCAAATTTGAAGAAGAAACTCGGCATGCAAATAATCGTCTTCTGCTTCTGCTTTAGCCACCGAGATTGGTATCAACTTTATTCGGCTAACGTTTCGGCGCAATCGCCTTCTTCGGAGCCTGCAAGTCAAAGCATATTTTTGAAACAAATTCATTCAAGTACCATTTTGGATCACATGAAGGAAAAACTGAGGGGAAATGAGTCAAGCACGAAGTCGTAACCAGCTAACCTTATTAGAAGCCGAGCGTTGGAAGGCACCCTTTGCTTAAAGACCGTAAGGTTTGCAAAGATGATTGGATAATTCATCGCGAGTTTAATTGGTTTTTTCAAAGCTGTTCGCTACACCACTTTGAACCACAAAGTCGGAAATACTCAAGAAAACTCCGGATAACGGACTGTTTCACCACCGTGACTGATTGAATCTCAAATCGTAGGAGCTGATCTTTTTGTTTTGGCTGAAACTCGCCAACGCCGAGAGATCCTCCGTAAGAGTTTCACGGTAGGCGTTTGATCCCGAACTAGAACCTGTATTGACCGAGAACAACTACCCGTAAAACGAAACACGTTGTTTAATCAGTTTTCAGCGACGAACCTCCAGAGAGAAAAAGCGAAACATCGGATAACCTTGACAAGTGCTGTATGGCCACTCGGACCCTTACACCCGCCCAGCAATCCATTATTCTCCGACACGATGACCCAGATACCCATAGATAAATGCATCCAATCATCTCCATAGCGCCCCATCTTCAACGTTTTCCCCCACAGAATCGTGTAATCGTATCCATGTAAATAGGCGATTTCCTCTATAGGTCGATTTTTGTAACCTTTTCATATTATTTGATATTATCACGAGCTTACCAGATGATGGCCGGCGTGGCGATCCTTTTTGCTGTAGTGGCCGTGGCGTTCGGCAAGATGACACCGAACGAGAAGCTGAAGGAGTGCTGCGCCACTCTTCACAAAGCTGACAAGGAATGTGTCAGCAAATTCTGCGACTTCAACGCTATTTCTCAGACCAACGTTAGTTTATTTTTGAATTTTGAACCTTTTTTCTTATGTTCGTTTTTATAAAGGCTAATCAAATCAAAAATGGAAAAGAAGGGGCTCAAATCATGCATCATTTTTCACAAGCTCTAGCCCGAAAATTTCTTTATGATTACCCGTGTGTGACTGTCCCTTTACGACTCTGCGTTTTCTCCCCTAGTAGGAGTAAGGGAGTCTCTCTGTTCAAATTTCCCTAGGGTCCAAGGGGGTAGACGATCGGATCGGAGATATTATAATTTTGGTATAAAATCCTCACTCTATACCCTATGAAGGATTCAGATAGTTCCCGAGGCTAAAAGACTTTCGACCAATTTATCTTACTACCAAATTTGGCAACGATCCTTGTCCTATGTTTTACGATGTCAGGGACTGTTATAAGATCTCCATACAGATGTTTTCCCTAGAGATCCAAGAAACTTCCATTTGAAAAAAGGTTGTCAACGTCATTTGGTGAGGGTTGGGTTGCACTCACGTTTCACTGGTTTTGGGCTAGTTCCCTTCAGCCAGAAGTGTTTCTGGGATTTGAGGTTAGGCTTGGGCCTTATATTTTTCTCAGCACCTCCACCAGAACAGCTGCTTCTTCACTAATAGCCCAAGAACTTTCTCAGCAGTGGCATGTTAGTGGCTTCAACTTTCGGAAAACGCACTGATATATTTGAGCTGCAAAAAATGTCAAAGGAGCCAAACAAAAGGATTTTGATACAGTTTCCGTTGCACCCACTGGTGTAGCACGCCTTACGCCATGGCTCTCGGAAAATCCGTTTGAAATATATCAATCAATACATATCCTCTGTATGACAAAAATATTGCAGATCCTCAGCTTCTTGTCGAAGTGCTCAGAGAAGGGTCCAACTGTTGGAAATATGTGGGACTGCGCCTCTCTGCGTCACGACGCATACTGAATGCTGCAAGGTAAGTCTACTTTCTTCAGAACATTCCTAAGGCTACTTACAGTTCCTTCCAAGAGCAGATTATTGCGTTTAAGGTACGGTGTTCATGCTTATTGAGGAAAATAAACATTTCAGAGCAAAGGGTCGAAAGGCAAGTGCCTTGAACATATTGCTCTGCTCAACCGGACGTGGTAACCAACACTACGCATCCGCAACTTACCTTTTCTGTACTGAATCATTCAACGAAATCAGGGAATGCTTTATGGCTCATATCGAGAAGAACCCTCCATTCAAGAAAAGAAAGGGAGGAAAGGGAAAGAAAGAGTAAATATGTGAATAATTTAATAAAGTATTTGGCATCTGTTGATGTTTTCAGAATGTGCCCAGAAGTTCTTCGCTGTTAAACATATTTTACTGATATCTCCTCATCTCATCCAAGAGAGAGCGAGCTCATCACCTCCGACAATCCTAAGCTTACACACAAATGCAAAAAAGAATTTAAAAAATGCTTTTGGTCATGAAAAACCTTACTTTGCACGGGTTTTCTATCGTCGTCCACAACAAATAACGGCTTTGGATACGTCGGTAACCCTCACTCTTCGGAATCATATCCAGGAGCTCTAGGATTTGGATCAAGCGCACCACTTCCTCGAAATCATATCCTGGAGCTCCTGGCCCGCGTTTCCAATTTCATCGAAGGCGCCCTTGAAATAGGCTGGGGAACATGGTCAGCTTTTTCCACATTTGACAGCACAGATCAGCCGCAAAAGGAGATTTGCGCCACTCTTTTTTGTAGAACGTTTTCACTTTCGGCGTAGCCTCGATCCTGCAGGAACACCTCATCCAACACCTGCAAGAATAGAACCCTTTTCCACAGTATGATGGTAATGACCTATAGTAAGTTATACGAGTAGGGGTTTTTCACTTCCTTGGGAATAATCCTGATATTATATTATAATGAATATACAGTTGTCGATTTTGTGTAGAAAAAATATGTCATTTGAGTTCCTCGTGAATGTGAGAAAGTTTTCCTACCATCTGTTAACAAGGGAATGTCAGGCGTCACCTTTCAGATCGGAACAAAAGGCTGCGTAACTTTACTTTCTATCCTCAAAGGTCCCAAGGTTGTAATAGGTCTGCTTCCCATCACACTCATATCTGGACACAGTTTGAGCAACTACAACTTTGGAATCAAACCGTCCTTTTAGAAAGTATGTTTACAAATGCGAGATTAGAAGCACGAGATTTGGCAGCAGTAGTCTGAGGTGCCACAGTAGTACAGAAGAGAAGCCATCAAACAAAATTTTGGGCCCAATCTGACTAACCAAGCAAGTACGGACCAGGGTTAACCCATTCCTAAGCTGACCTCAACAGTTGCCCGTAACATGAAATCCCACTCACCGGGTATGCTATAGGGAGTCTTCTATTTGCCGGTCCAGGCCCGTCAACTCCTAAGAAAATGATTATGTAGGTTGTGGTCCGTCCGAGGAATGAAAACAATCCTCCCTTCTTTCTTACCCACCTCTTTATTAATTGCATCTATCCTTTTTTCTCCATTGTTGTAAATGCTGACCCTGGTCTAGAGCTCGACCCTCAACCATGCGAGTGGATGTATGCGTTGGTAGATTTTGCTAGGCACCTCTTCTGTAAAGTGAGGAACCATAACACCAGAGATAATAACTCAGGGCAGATAAAGGGGAAGCTGTCCAGGTGAGATCAACAGCTGTGGCCATAGATCGTGTGCAAATTTGGCGAAAAACAGCTGCCTACTAGTGCGGAATGGGAAAAGAGGTGAAGAAAAATACTATAGCTGTTCGGCCAACAGCGATTGGCTTAGCCATGATGGAGATTTGCTTGTGTTGTTTTGAAAAGTGCAAACTCTCTCTAAGTAGGTCTTGGCCAGATTGATACGCACTTACTCAAGGTAAGTTTATGGCGAATCATGTGATTTATTTTCTTTCCAAGTCGGCGAAACTAGGCTGACTTCAGTCGATGATGGCTCTTGTTGTTCTCGGATTCCCGCAATGTCTACCCTACCAACCATCGTGCAAGAAGGGTGCATATTGCTAAGGATCAGGCGATACATATTCAGATTAGTAGGCCATATAAAGCGAGGAGGTGAGCAAACCAGCCCTTTTGGCGTTTCTGCTGGGGCCGTATGCTGAATGTTGGGGGAGGATGGGGTCCCCGAGCTCGACGGACTACTTGAACTCGGTCGGTACGGTAGGAGAGTGATGACGAAGTGGTGCAGCTAGGTCCAGCAGCTCCGCCAAAGGGGCTGGTTTGCTTACCCCAGGACTAAGCCTTGGAGAGAGGACGGACCTGCGCTCTCTCGCAGGTCCGTCCTCTTTTAAATTAGCTAATAGTCCTGAGGTAAGGCATTGAATTGAAAGAGGCGGTTTCAAGGACCGCCCCAGTTGACAAGTACGAGCCGTCGACCCGTTGGGCGTCGCATCCCCGCCCGGTCCCTTTTTGGTCCCCAACATTCCAGCATCACGTTCCAGCTAGATAATGCCACAACAGGCTGTTAACCTTACTTCTTAAAAAGCTAAGCTGGTCAAGCCAGCTCAACCCCCACGCCGTTCATCGACACTCTGAAAGTCCTATTCTCGCTCTACGAGTAAGATATTTGGTCAGTTCCCCGCAGATCGGGCGGTGGAATATTACTTTCCCTACATTTACTTAAATGCCTTCTCGCAGAAAACCGATGTGTTCAAATACATACAGTTTGTGTTCTCGCAAGAAGTTAACGATGTTTGTACGGTAATACAAGAGTACGTGCAGGTACTGGCCAGGGTTGATGCCCCATCCAAATTTCATGACAGGGTCAAATCAAAAACTAGAGGTGAATCGGAGAAGATTTTATATGCAACGCCGCAAACCGCCTCAAAGCGATACAGCTTTGGGCATAGAGGTGGATCTAAATTCAATAATCTTAAATCGAAAGGGACTCCTGCCCCTAGTCCTGCTTTTTTTACTTTTCAAACGCGCTCCTGAAGAAAGAATTGTTGAGCCTGTATAGAAGACAAACGTCACTGTCAGACAATTGGACGGATGCTCTTGCTTTGTGTTTTTAACACTGTCTTATGCAACGCGTTACAAACAACACATAATAAATAATTAAACAGGACGCGGATTCTCCCGCCTATTCCCCCTATGTCGAAAGAGTGCAAATGCTTCTGAAACGGTTTATTACGAAAACAGCACAAAATGAGTCTCCAGAACATAGCGCGGAGCGAATTCTAACCTAATCGTTGGGAACAGCGAGCAACCCTTCTGCCGCGCCCTCGCTCCACTCTGGCCACATATGTTACGCGGGCCATTTTTTATTACTCAACGACAGATCACCCCTTTCTAGTTGAGGTGGAGTAGGACCGTAAGAAGATGCTTAGCATAAAGAAAAGATATCGTGTCTCGCCAAGTGAAACAGCTTCCTTCTCTACCCCCACGCGAAATGCAATTTGTCCGTCAAGAAACATCGAAAATCATGCGCACTACCTCAACCCCACCAGCTCCATGAAAAGCCCCCCCAGATTTCTTGCATCCAGACGGCAGACCTAAGAAAAAAAATTAATGCGGCAAAGAGTGTTCCACGATTGACTGCAAGCATTCAAATATAAATCCGGGGGGGGGGCAAATAAACAGTCGCTTGGCCCTCTCTCTGGCCACATCATTCAACATTCTTCTTCGCAGAAGCATGCCGGCAGCTAAAATGAATGTTTTTGCGCGCGTTCCAAAATATTCCTTAGGTGTCCCCCCATAAGCAGAAGCAGCCCCTACTTCAATGCCCTCACGGTCTTCAGAATATGACGTCATCTGCCGTCGCCGTCAAGCTCAACGGGGCTTACCGTAATCGCTCCGGCCTGAAGCTGCAACCTAATTTCTTCAATCGGTTAAGCGTGAATAGCTTCCCAGAGACACTAGCTGTGACTGTGCAAGACCGCTTTTGACCGGCGTTTCAGGGACGTCGTAATGGTCTCCATGGTTCACCTAACGTAATTCGACGACGTCGTATGACGCTCCTACCGTGAAGGCCAGTTTCCGTAGACCATCTTCCCGCAATTTCCCGTGTGGAAGGCTGTAATGTATCCTTTTTATATAGTTACGCAATAAAGTGCATCTTATAATATGTCAATTGGTTCATTTGACTTCTGTTCCGCAGGTTCAAGATTCATTGCGTTGTTCTTGAATGTGAGCAGAAATGACTCTTTTTTGGCGAAGCCCCTGTATTAACAGTAAGAAACATGGAGTCGCATCTTTTTTCACGATGCTCCAGACAAACGCGAGGCTTCTTTAACTCGGCTCTAAGGAGATAACGAAGCTAAGTTCTTGTAATTATCCCAAACCATGAGACCAACGTCGAGCAAGGTTATCTACCGCGCAGGCCTCTCGATCAGACGTCAGTGTGTTCACCTCTTCCTTCGCCAACGCTATGATTATGAACTCCCCGTAAATGGGAAGCCTCGCCACAACTTAACTTAACCTCTTACAATACGACCAGCGTCACGTAAGACTTAGACGTGATAAAATCTGAAGACTCCAAAAGACTGTCATATGGAACAACAAAGCGGGAGATCCGTACTTTCAAAGCATGGACGCTTCCATCCGTCGGCTGACCTTACGAAGATCACGCAATTTAGCATTATGATTACCTCCGACATTCATTGGACTGACCGGGGCCGAATGTATTGCCCTCTACACGCCATTTGCGATGCTGGCAAAGAACTGTTTCCTGGAAGGTGCACTGTCAGAGCATCCATAGTGTGTATCCTCGTCTACTACGCACTTGCCATTAACTTTGAATTCTACGAATAACCTAACCCACTTCAAGATATCGGACTTTGAATCAACGAAGATGTGGTTCCTCCTGCTTTGACAATTAAAATCGAAATCTAGTCGCCTGTGCAAGCTACAATGGGAAAAAGCTGTAGCATTCTATATGGAATTGTGGGAGGTGCAGCGAAGTCAATACTTGCTTCACTGTTGGTGGCTTCACTGCAAAAATGAGCCCAAGAAGGGCCGACGAAGAATTCCACATCTGTACTCATGGAATGAAATGGGACGAGTAGGAAGTAAGTCGGTCCGAGTTAGCCCAGTAATGTACATCCTTCGGTAACTTCACTTTCATCTCTGCTTTGCAGAAGGATTCCACTGCTGGAAATTTCGACTAAGAATACTATCGGCCTGCCCAGCTTTTAACGACACAGCTTCAGAAGTGAGCATTGAAATGACCAAGGGAGGTCGGAAGAGAAACTGGGTTTCAAAATACGTTAGCGATCGAACGATCAGTACACCATCGTTTTCCGCCAAATAATCAAAGATCAGGTG